AACATGAGCAAGCAAAGGGATAGCCCAGCCCCGCTTGAAGAGAGAAGGAGAGAGGGAGAGAGAGGGGGAGGGGGAGAGACAGAGAGAGGTAGAGAGAGAGAGAGAGAGACAGCAACAGTGATACATTCCTTCGAGCAACTAGCGAGCTCCGTGCTTGTGGAAAATTGTGCTTTAGAACCATGTTCAGTCATACGAGCGAGTGGTTCCACCTTGGCAGAGAGCAGACGCATGAGATTCTCTGACAACAGATTTGTGGAAGTGTTCCACAAACATCAGCTCGGCAAAAACAGGGCATTCCACTAAGACCTTGTGTGTTTGAGACTCCGACGCAGATTCCTCTACACACGTGCGGATGAACATAGAACACCATAGAACCCAACAACTCATCATTTCTGGGGAAAGGTTAAACCGTCTTTTTTCATGTCCATGTCAAGAAAAGAAGCAATCCTTTTAATGCGTTTAATAGCTGTAGCACTGCATTTCGTTTGCCAAGCTTTTGAGTGGCTGTCCTTGATGGCCGACTTTCGGGGTGGAGCCCGGGCTTTTGAACACTCAAAACTAAAGTACGTATGTTAGCCGCCCTTTCCCCCAAAAGGACAAAGACAAATAGAAGAAAAGAAACAAGACGCAACAGGACCCCCTTCCCAAACCGCAAGCTCCCTTTTATTCGCCGAGCATGCGCGACGTGTCGCGTCAGCTTGCGATGGCTCACAAAGCGATAGGCCGAGAGTAGCCATGAGGCCATGCAATTCCTCAGCGTCCCGGGTCTCAGGTCACGTGGTTCACGGATCGCTGGTAGATTTGGAACCTGCAGTCGGGGTTGAGGGGTTGACCCAAATTGTTCAACCAAAAGGATTCACAATTTCTTTTATGGCTATTTGGTTGGATCTTCAGGCCTTTAACTTTTTGGTTGAAACTTTGTGGATGTTGGATTGGACCCACAAGTTGAACTGCCAGCCATGATGGGATTCCTTCACTCGGGTCTGGGAATTGGTTGCAACATTTTTGCAGATCGGATGCCCAGCCCTCCGGTTCATGGAGACCTCCCCGTAGATCTTTCCACAAGGGAAACGTTCCGGGAGTTTCAGGCTGCGAGCCTGAACGCCAAGGACGAAGCATGGAAAAGAACCCATGGATCATCCCCCAACATGTACCTCACCCGAAGGGCCCAGGTGGGAGGGCAGTACTTGTACACTCTTCCGGGTGAAGCTGCAGTCAGTATCAGGCTTTGGCCCGGTTTCCGTCCAGACCTCTAGTGGACGTGTCTCATGGTTTTTTAGTGTAGGTGTACCCCTACTGCGCAACAAAGAAGCCCTTTTGTCCCCAACGGAGGTCCACTGCACTAATGTCGACCCAGGATGGACGACAGCTGAGAAATCTGCCTTGCCTGCATATGGCTGTGAGTCAAAACCTGGGTATATTGGGTGGGTACATCTTTCGCTCAATACCCCATTGAATACGTATTGAACAGGTTGTTGGCTGGACGTTCAATACCCGTCGTTCAATACCCTTGATCATCGAATGATTCAGGAGTAGCCAAATGTAGCCAACAGAGTTTCTAAAACCCCCGTGATCGGTCTGAGGATGATTTGCTTCCATTTGCTGAATTGAATATGTGTTATTTCCCCTTGTTGGCTTTAAACGGAAGTTATCACTACTGCACATATTTCTCTCATTTTCCCGGGGCCTTCACAATTGAAGTGTGTGGGATGATGTGGAGAACGATGCTTGGACGCCGTTGCTCTGTCGATGGCGCCTGAAAGAGGCTCTCTCGAGGGAGCCTGCTAGAGAGGAACCCTCACGTTCAAGAGCTCTTGAAAGCAGGGAATCAAAGGAGAAACAAGGGATCGAAGGAGAAAGCGAGGAATCAAAGGAGAACTCCTGCACTTTTTGTTTTCTTCTTTTTTTTTCTGGACCTTTTCAGGCAATCCCTCTTGAGTCTACCCCTCGCTAAACCCGTTGCTTCCTACGACCGAGGCGTTGCGGGGCAAATCCACGGGGCCGAAGCCAAAGATGCAGTCGGCGGGGCGGCTGAGAATCTGTGGGCCCGGGAGGGCGTGGGGGGGCGGGGAGGGCGTGGGGTGTGGCTTGGTGCGTTTTGGGACGATTTTGGTTTCAGGGTAAGCCATGTTGGTGTCAGCTGGTTGTTGTGGAAACCACCGAAAGGGCGGTTTCCCCTTTTGACCCCTCTTAAAGCAATCCGAACTCACCGAGGGGTAAGGCGCATGATTTAGCCGTTGGCGAAAGTCACCGGTTATGCCTTCTCTCCCTCAAAGTTGGACCACCCCTTTGGTCACGAAACCCTTCAGCTTGGTAGGGAGGAGTATGATGCAATTGGCTATCTGCTTTCAGCCAATTATAAATGTGTGCGATCGCGGACGTTCTGGCCATGGCTCATTGTTCGAGCTGAGGCCCGGGCAGAGAAGAGAGATGACCGCGATGCCGCACCCTGGCAGAGCGAAGTTGGCTGAATGGCAAGTTTGTTAAATTGCCCAAATGGGGTGTGGCAAAACTATCGACCCCTTTGCCGCCTTTTATAGAGGATGCCAACAAGGGCCTTACAGTTGACAGGCCTTCAACTGGAAACTGTTGTTTTCCAGACCCCTCAATCGCACTATTTGGGAACCTTGGTCGAAACAGGTCCCTGGGCCTAGCGGCTCGGCTTGGACTCGCTTTGATTCTCAGGGAGACATGTGTCTTCACCCCCAAAGTCGTCGGTGTTCTTTTGGGAAACCCCAGCGGTGTCCCAAGGCCAACAGGCCAAGGGTTTTCTGAAGCAAAAAACCACATCGAGCCGACCCTCGCAAGCCTGGAGGCTGCGGTTTCGGTTTCGGTTTCCATGGAAGTGACTGTGATGACAGGGAATGCGTTTGTGTGGCATGGCAGGGCATATTGCCCGGGCCTACTTGTTTTTTTGCCAAGAATGGGGTTCTGAGGGATCTCAATCGCACAATTAAAGTTTAAAGCATGAGGTCACAAGAATAATGTAACTGTCCTTTTTGGCTAACTGTAGTAGGTTGCGGGGCATTATTCCAACGAGAAACAAACAAACGTCGAAAAGGAAGCCCACTTGTGGCTTTTTGGACGCCCCTTTTAGATGTCTTCTGCACTGAAACTCGGCAGATCATGTTCCTGGATGCAACACGGCAACATTACTCGGATAGTCTTTTTTTCTGCAAGAAGGCACAAGCACATGTTTTATGCAGACACCCCATGTAACACCAAACTAGAAAGTCCTAACCTCGAAAGGTCCCACATCGCCAGAGCAGTACCCCCGAGCCTATTCGGACTTGGATGCAGGGCTTTGGAGCCCTGTTGGGTGAAGACAGCGAGCTCCCTGAAGGTGAACCCAAAACTTGTGTCCGGGATTCGTGGCCTTTGTGGCCTCACTTGGCGTTGTTGACCCTTGTGGTGGAGGCCGCGTTGCGCACAAATGTTTTGTTGATGCGATTTGTTTCACGTTTTGCTCACCCGTGATCTGTGGACCCAGGCGGGGCAACAGCAGCAGATCCAGCGGCTGGAGGTTGAGGTGGCGCAGGCGCCCCTTTGTTTTCCACTAACCAGGCAACAAACATATGTTTTTTTGCCGGGGTCCTAGTTCCAGCCAAGTGTTCGAAGGGTACGCCTTTGTTTGTTGGTGTCAAACGGGACAAAACCCAAAGGAACACCATTTTGAAAACAGACGCCCATCTTATTGCCGTGCTTTTGAAAATCGCAACCTCATTTGCCCAAAGGCTTCACAAGGGGAGAAGTGCTAGTGCTTGTCGCTGGGCCAGGCGTGGATTCCACCTCTTTCCCCTGACTAGATAGTAGTGACCAGAAATCTGTGGACAGTTCCCAGAAATCTGTATCGCATCAGTCACATTTTTTGAATGGACCAAGGACCTCTCCTGGGGAGTTGGGACCGCAGCCGGGTGAAGCTCAATGGCGCAAATCCTCCCATGTTGGTTTAGCCATCTTCGGGGAATGGCGAGTTTTCTACTTCCCCCTGAGTTGGAACTGTGCAGATGGCAACCCATCCACTTTCAGCCCAGTTGAACCGTTGAACCCGCGTGGTTTTGGGGGGAAGGCAGCTGGGAGTGGCAGAACCCCGCTCGCAGGCTTCAGAAGCCCTGGCTGCCGCGCGCGGCGGGGCCCAGGAGGCGGGGCACCTGCGGCCGATCCAAAGGTTCCGTTGCTGTCCCCCGAGCCGCAAGCGAATCGAAGGGAGAAACGAATCGAGGCTGTTGGGGTCCCTTTGGTCTGGTTGTTGTTGGGAAACATGTGTTTTACATTTTTTCTTATTGGGGTTTAATGGGAAATCCCCACTTAACTGCTAAAATCTAAATGTTTGCTCCCCTTCCAACGTCAACCAAGCAGAAGATCTTCTTGTAAAAAGGCTTTCCCTTGGAGGGGGCCACCAGAAAATCACCAGAAAGTCACCAGAGGACCACCCAGGACATCAGGAGATCATGGGAAGATCCTTGGATCACCAGAGGATCGCCTTTGATTTGGTCGCAAAAGGCGACCTTCGGGGCTTGGGGAGGCCACGGTACAACAAGCTGTTGGTTTCAACTGTGGCTCGTATGAGGAAACTTTGACCAAGAAGGGTGTTCAGGCATCAACCCTACTTAGTGTCCATTTGAATGGGTTTACCCGACATCTATTTCCCTCTTGTTTGGAAGATTCCAGAGGATTCCAGCCCGGCTGGTTCTACCATCTCCCGCCAGAAGAACGGCAATCACTCCTCCCTGAGTTCCTGGACTTTCGAGTGCCTGTTTCGGTTTAGACTAGTTTAGTGGTAAATGCAAAGTGGGCTTTAGACCATTTTAGTGTTTAGCGGTTTAGACCATTTTTGGGTTTAGACAGACCATTTTAGTGGTAAGTAACAAGTTTGGTTACCTTTTTTGGATGCATTCCACTCCTTCCATTTGCTGATTTTTTGTTGTCCCCGCTTGGTTTTAAAGGGAATCGATTTTACTACCGGCCATGTTTTCTGATCTTTTCCAATTTTTCCCATGGGCGAAAAGTTAAGCAAATGGAAGCACACTGCTTTGAGTTTGGTTGCCATTTTACTTGGTGGCTCCCGAAGGCCATCCGGTTCCTTAGCTTAGATCTTGTTAGCGGTAGTGTCCATTTGACCCACCAAAAAATCCCCTGCTGAGCCTCTCGCTGACCAGGGGGGTCTTTTTGCCACCTTTTGTGGAAAAACGATCGACCCCTCCTAGTGAAGGATTCCTTTTTGAGGGGGTCGCCAATTTTCTGGCAAAAAGACACCCCTCTCGCGGACTCGGTCGCATCGCGGGTTCGGAGCCAGTCCAGGCCCGCGCGCAGGACCAGCGCTGGCAGCAGGAGCTGGCCCGAGCCAAGGCCCGGAGCCGGAGCTGGGCGGGGTGGAGTGGAGTGGGGGCAGTTTTTTTTGGTGGGACCAGAGATCCTTTGAGTTTTTTCTCAAACGCCCGGCACCTGGAGGGGGCGTTTCTTGTTTGGTCTTTTGTGGCAGTGCGGCAAAAAACATATCCACTAGTCGTTGAAAAGTCGAGGCCCGGGGACTGAGAAGGGCCGTGCTGCGGATGGTTGCGAAATCCGTTCGCACCACGAAAATGAAACCATTTGAATGAAACCATAGCGTTTGTTGGCATTCACAGGGGGATCGAATCATTCCAGGGTTTTGTAGGTGGTGCGAAATGGACATCGTCCATCCGCAGTATCACAAGGGTTGTGCCTGTTTAGTTGACCCAATCCGAGCTTGTTGGCAGCTACTTTGGGCCCGGAAATGCTGTTGCCCCATTCTTTGCACGGATCTTAGTTGTTGTTTGTTTCCATGGTCTTGACTGCAAAGACCACGGGGCTTTTGGCTGACACGACAAGGGCTGTAAAGGACCATGCTTCATGTTGACCATCGCCCTCAGGAAGATGAGGCTCGCGCCCTGCAGAGCGAGCTCGCCGCGCAAGCCAGGGAGGCGCGCCTGCTTCTGCCCCTTGCAGATTTACATGGGTTTGTCGCAAAATGCTCCTTAAACTGGCTGGTTCCCTTTTGGTTTCCCTTTAATTGGAACCATCCTCGACACAAAATATGGAGGTCAAAAAGCCATCACTTGTAGATTAAACTCATTTTGGGGCAACGTCCAAACGAGCCACGCCGTCAATACCCAGGCAACAACGGGACATTCCCCTTCCCCTTGCCATGACTTGCTGCGGAGATCCACCGAAGATCCACCCTTTTGACGCTGTTCCTGTGGTTTTTAGGTCTTCACTCACACCAGGTGTTCGATCTCGCGTTTTGTCCGTCAAGTTGGCAGCAACAAGTCGGCAAAAAAGAAGTCGTACCACCAGACAAGAAGAACTCATCGCCAGGCCCGAGTTTGGTTCTGCCCCTTGGTCCCAACTCACGTGGCTCCAGTGAAAGTTCTGGACAACTTCGATTTCGAGGGCTTCCGAAACCCTGACCTTGGTCACAAAACAGGTCCCCTTTGTGGTTTCCCTCTAGGGACTCGAGGGACTCTAGTGAGTAGGATTGATCAAGTGTAAAAAAAACATGTTTGCAGTTTACAGTTTTTGCCCCCTTTTTAAGGAACACTGTAAAGAAAGGACCTAAACGTTCTGTCAAAAAAGAGGTCCTTTTTGTGGCTTCCCTTGAAAAACAAGCCTGTATTTGCCACCTTCTTTTAAAATAGGGGCCCGTAGCGAGCCTCCCTTTCTGTAAAAAAAACTGGGGTCCCCTTTCCCTCTAGAAGCTCGAAGGACTCTAGGGATTAGGATTGGTCAAGCGTGAAACGCATGTCTGTACTTGCTTCCTTGCTTGAAGAATACTGCAAAAATTCGGACCTGAAGAGAGCGTTAAAAACGAGGGTCCTCCTTGTGGTTTCCCTTTAAAACTCAAGGAGGGGCCCCCGTTCTGGTTTGCGAAGCCGAAAAACAACGGTTTCTCAGGTACGAGTGGATATGGCTTCTTCAAAGGGGACACATCAAAAGTGGTTTGCGAACATGGATCCATAGCTAAATAATGATGTCCAGCAAAGCGTCCGGGACCCATTTCATTCACACCCAAGGGAACCAGCGATCTTGAATAGAAACAACATGTGCCTTTTAGGGGTGGAAAGAGACTTGGAACCCGTTTGTGATTGGTTGAGTCCGATTTTACTTCTTCGGCTTCCCTCTCTGGGACGCCCCTTTTATTTATCGAGGCTCTCTTCGGGGCCCTGGTTTACAGTGTTATTTTGTTGGAAAAAAAGAGATGATAAACTCCAAAATTTACGCTTTGTCAATCCTAATCCCTGGAGCCCCTACCAAAGCAACAACAACAAAGGGAAACCCTGCAGAATTTGGCAGAAAAGGACGTTCTCTACGGGCCCCTATTTTTAAACACAAGAAGCAAGTACAAACATGCTCTTCGACACTTGGCCAATCTTAATCCCTAGAGTCCCTAGAGGGAAACTACAAAGGGGAGCCATGCTTTTTGTACAGAAACGGACGCTCGCCATGGGCCCCTATTTTTTCAGAAAGGAAGCAAGTACAATCATGAGGGCTTTGGCTAGCCTTGATGCAAATCAACGCACCTGTGTAGCCATGCTGCATCACTTCTCTGGCCGAAATAGCTCGGACCAAATCACCACGATGCTAATTTGGGGTTTAGGAGTTAGAAGCTCTTTTGCGCCTGGCCAATCTTTAGAGTCCCTCGAGCGCCTAGAGGGAAACCACAAAGGGGACCCCTGCTTGTTATACAGAAAGGGACGCTCGCTATGCGCCCCTATTTTTTTTTTAGAAAGGACGCAAGTACAAACATGCTGTTTTACGCTTGGCCAATCTTGCTGATGCGAGAGGCGGCGAAGGAGGAGCAGCTGCAAGCGAAGGTCTGGGGGGGGAGCTGGGGGGGGGCGAGCTGGGTCGACCCCACCGTCCTCGGTAGGATCTCTTGGTGCGATAGGCGAATGACCGGCGCTCTGCTTGTGGCAAGGCTTCCAAATGACAGCTCCCGGAGACCCTTGCACCTGAATTTGTTGCCCCTGGCTTTCTTTGGAAACCAAAGATTTTGCTGGTGGGGAATGTGGGAATGAACCCAGGGGTTCCCCTAAAGGAAACCACCAGTTGGATGGTTTAGCTGCAATTTCCTATGTCCAGGAGAGGCAAGCAAGGCAAGCAGGGACTGGACCGACTTACATTTTCACCCTGGCCGGAGATGCTTGCGCGCATGGCAGCTGCGCATGACATGGCCAGCTTTGTAGTCAGCTGGCCTGTGCCAATAGGAACTTTTTTTTGGGGGGGCATCCCCCAACAAAGGCACTTACCAGGATACATGCACGGCAACGAATGCCTCACGAATGCCTCTCCAGCACTGCGTTTTAGCTAAGGGCGGGCTCCCCCAAGGTCTTGGGTGGGTACTCAGCGGGTTAATCCTAGCAAGGGCAAGTTTAGTGCCGAGAAGTGCCAACTGAGGTACGTCTAGGGGCCTTGTTGGGTAGCGGTTTGGTGGAACCCATGCCTTCGGGCGGGCGAAAGAAAGAGACGTTGTCTGTTACTTTATTACATGCTTTATGAATAAATCTAAGTGTGTCTGTCTCTGAACAGGGGACTCATTTCTTCTCAAAAGGTAGTTTCCGTCGAAGTATGCGTCACCAACCTACTTCGAAAGCGTCCAAAACGAGGCTTAAGGTGGACCATGGTTTAGCCAAGGTCCTAAAAGGTTAACCTGTTTTTCAACCTATGAGCTGAGCCTATGAGTCTGTCTCACCTAACTACCACTTCTGGCATTGATAGTGACAATGGCCGTCGCAGCACTTTTGGCCGCCAAGTGCGCGTTTGGTAGCCAAGTGAGATCCCTGTAGGAGACGTAGTTGCCCAAAACGAATCGGCGTGTTGACCTTGGGCTTTCCGATCATGGCCCACATTTGAATGGAGCAGCGGGTTCTCAACAGGTGTGAACCTTTGACTTGCAGGCCCCTTGTTCTCTTTGCTGAGAGTTTTTCTCTTTGCTTCGTTGGGCTTAGGGCTGCTATGTGAGGACTTTGTATTGTCTGGAGCCTTCAGGCTGCGGCGGCCCGTGGCCGGCGCGACGAGCATGGCATCCAAGGGACGGCCGGGCGGAGCAAGTGGGAAGCTAGTTCAAGGCATAGGTGTCTTTTTAGGTTAGTTTTGGCAAAAATAGATGGCACTGATTCAACCTGGAGAGGTCCTTTGGGCAACTGAGATGGATGACGCTTTTCCTGATGGATGGTTGTTCACACAGCCTGAGTGTTTGCCACATGTGCGGCAAAGCAACTCTTAAATAATAGGGGTGCTCACCGACTTGCAATCAAACTCATGAGGATTCGTTGTTTTCCAGGTTTTGGGCATTATTGCAACATGTGCAGATGAACGTCTTCCAAGGGAACGAGCGGATGGTTAGCCAGTGGATGGTTTGCTTTTGGAGGGGAGCGAGAAGGGAGTTCGTCAATTTGCACTCCTGCAGATGAGTATGGGATTCAATCATCCGGCGTTTGGACCCCTGCTTGAACTTTAAGGCCCGCATTTGGCCGTTGTTGGGCAGTATGGAACCCAACCACCCATCGACAGGAGCACCCACCAGTTTCTCAGGGCTCCGAAAAAGGATCGATACATTTTGCAGGCCACTTGAAACATGGCCCGCTTTTTCCACACCAAGATCAAGGGGCTTACCACCATGCACAAGTTGCAATGCTCAGGTGTATAATGTAGGGATCCCTGTTTCTTTGCCCCCCCCCCCCCGGCATTTGGACACATCGGAGATACCCAGATGCCCTCCAAGGCTGGCCCAGCGCGCTGCCCGTCTTCAGGAGGCGATGCCGAACCAATCAGAGGGAAACCTGCATGGGGCGGACCGGTGGTTTTTCTTAAAGGGAGTTTCGGGACCCTTTTTGGGTCAGGTAGCCCTGAATTCGTTCATTTTAGTTTGGGGGTAGCCCCCTGGGTTCTCTTGGGGGGTTAAGGGAACCGCCCCCAACCTCCCAACCACCAAGAATAAGGGGAAAGCTGATCCTTTGGGAAGTAATATTCCAAAAACTTGCGCCACAGTACCCGCGCGGAACTGCCCGAGGTGTTTTCCAGCCATTTCCTGTGCAACGAAAATAACATAATTTTAAACATATTAAGAACAAAATTATATTAATAATTGTATGAAGTAACTACCGTTTATGATATAGGGGTATCATAAATGGAACAGATGTTCATTGCTTCAATCATAAGCATTGAAGATAATTAGTTTGACGCCTCGCCAGAGGCCCGCGTGCTAATGCTACCCCCGCTTGTGTGTTGCCCAGTGCGAAGAGCCCCCAAATATTCGAAATAATAAGGTCAATTATATTTGATATTATTGTTTAATATGGATAGGACTTATTTAGACTATATTGATACAATAGATGAAGTAAAGAAAGTAATACTAACTGATAATAAAATTAACATGTTGTTATTATTCATTGGAGTTATTTAAGATAGGAATACATATTTCAAAAAATCAAAATGTGAATAGTGATATAAATGGGAAGAAGTAAAAACAAAAGCATAAGACAGAAACAGGGTTAAGTGTTTCTTCAACAGATGAAGACAGTGAAGAAGTTATTAACCAAACAGCTTGAGTTTCCTTGTCCAATATGTAAAAGGATGTTAGAACTTAAAAATGAATTAGAAGTACAAAAGAAGGGAAATTGCAAATGTTCTTGTGTCCCTACCAGTTTTACGGTGAGTAAACCTGATAAACAAATGAATATTGATAAACCCAAAGACGGCGATATAAGTTTAGAACCAGACGCACATAATATTACATTTAAATAGGGCCGGAACGCCGCACCATCTGATAATGGCGAAACGAACCACAGGAAACCATACGAGAAATGATGAAATCATAGTATATATATAGTAGATTTAACATCAATTCAAACTCACAAATAAATACAAATAATAAATATATAGTTATCTATATATATATGTCTGAACACGAAAGTTATAGCACCAGTGACTTCATGAAGAAGATTCCCATTGTTAGTAAGAACATTAAAGCACTTACCGATTTAGTTAAAACTATTGATGAGAAGTTGAAAGTTAAACCTAATGAAAATCAAAGTAAAGAAGATATGGATGAAACTTTAAGATTAACCTGTGGTTCGTATGAAGATAAACAGAAACAATATATGGATATGCGTAATCAAAATGAAATGACATCACCAAAACAGGAAACTATTGAATATTATAAACTGTTTCAGAATGAAGAAGGAACATATGAGATATTATAAATTAAAATCTAAATAACTGTAATAAATGAATCTATTAGAGATGTTTAGTGGCACAGGCTCCGTTGGACATATAGCTAGGTCGCTTGGTTTGATGTTATATCTTTGGACTTGAAAATGCTGACATCAATGAACATATTTTGAAATGGGATTATACGCAATTTGACAGAAATCATTTTGATTTTATTTGGGCACCACCACCTTGCACTGAATACAGAAAAGCAAACACTACAGGAATAAGAAACATTGAAGATGCTACTAGTATAGTACTAAAAACTATTGAAGTCATCAAATATGTCAATCCAAAATATTGATGTAACTGAAAATCCGCAAGCTGGTTTGTTGAAAAATCAGTCTTTTACGAATGGGTTAAGGTTTAATGACATTGACTATTGTAAATATGGATTTAATTGTAGGAAGCGAACTAGGTTATGGAACAATCTAAACAATTGGAACCCTAGAAGATTATGTAAAAAAAAACTGTGGTAAAGTAGTTGATAAACATTGAACAGCACAGAGACTGCCACCAAACAACAAAGCGGAATGGGGTGATATATTACACATAAACAGGAAGACTTATATAAAATCCCGAGTGAATTAATCAGTATATTAGTGAGTGTTATTTAAAAGTAAATGTTAGTTTATTCATATTATATAATTATGATATGATTAAACCCTTATATCCCCCAGAAAGCCTAAAAATCGTCTGAAACCTGAACCTTGAAAATGTCAAAATCTTAGACTGCTATTAAATGAAACAGCTTGTTGAAAATGAACATTTAAAAATAAAACCCGGGATTAAAAACCTTCCGGGGTAACCATTCCCCCCCCCCCCCCCCCGGCCCCCGTGCCAGGAGGTCAGACAGCTGCCGGACCTCCGGCAGGGCACTCGGATGGCTCAGATACAAAGATGGCGTTTGACTCAAGGTCCGGGCTGCTGGATTTTACAATTGAAAGTGGGCACCAAGGGTTGCTTCTTTTTTGTTTTAAGACACGTGTTGTATGGTTTTGTTTTTTTTTTGTTTTGGGGGGGGGAGTAACTTTAGCACTTGTTTTATGTTCGTTTGGGGGGCAGGTGACTCTTGGACTTCCACCATGCCCACACCTCCAGCTTTGGTGCGGCCAAGCGCGAACTATGACGCACTTGAGGTCTTCCCAGGGTACATAAGTTACATATTTAGCTCAGGTGACCTGCCATTTCCTGCCATTTCCTGCCATTTCCAGGTTCCTAGGACCAAATCTCCATCCATGCTGTCATGACGAGGACCTCGGAGCAGCGCGCGGCGGAGCTGCGCCTGGAGAAGAGCCGCTCGGAGAAAAACAAACACGTGAGGGATGCGCGTGTGGGTTTCGTTTTTTTTTGGGGGGGGGTACGTGTCCCAAAGAGGTCGTCCAGTTGCTTTTTTCTTCTTTTCTTAACATGGAAAAAAGAGGTCGTCCTAGTGTTCCTTTTGGCGGGAAACTCGGTTCCAATGTTTTTTCTTCTTGAAACAGTGTTTAACTCCATTGCCTGAAATGAATTTGTCCTATTTTCCCGTGTTGGAAAGGGAATCGATTTCATTGTTAGACATATGTTCTCACTTTGTTCCAGGAGGTAGTGAAAAAGCAATCAGGTAGCACATGGATTCCCAATTGCGGCCCAAGCCTTTCGTGGAACATCTCCAAACATGCTAACTGTACCTGTTGGTTGAGTATGCTAGTTGATTGAATCAAGGTAACCTCACTTTGCTTTGGAGGGGGGGACTTTGATGAAAAAAACCTCCAGGAGTCGCTTTCTTTGGGTGGGAGCAGCAATCCCCTCGTGTCAAGTCTGCCATGAGAGTAATCAAGACATGGAGCCCGGCTTGCAACCTTGGCAGTTCCAAGCCGTGCGGTTTAGATTCGTGACATCCCCCCGGTAAAAGTGCGTAACTTGCGCGAACAAACCACAAAGTGGCCACTGGAGGACTCACTGAACTTCCCACGTCCAGTGGGGTCCAATAGGGCCGCAAATTTGACGCCTTGGGTAAGCTGGGCGCGAGGGTACCCTTTTCAGGTTGGTTTAGGTTAAAGGGGCACCAAAAGGAAACCCACCGCTAGTTTTACAGAGGTTTGCTGGCGGGTTAGCTTGGGGTGAACACGGGATTTCAGGGCTGAAGCGAGAACCCAGCCATTAGCGACCACGAGGACTTACCTTACTTTCAATCTGTGCGACTGGGCGAGGTCGAATAAGAATGTCAAGGTGAGCAAGCCACTCACTAGCATCGCGGCCATTTCAAGTGATCGTCTTTCAGATTTCAAAGGCCAAAGGGTTAACCCTGTTCTATGTGAAACCGTATGTCCGCTTGAAACACCCAAAGCTAGTAGTGACAGTCAACCGAGCAAACATGCCAAGGGCTGAAAAGTCCACTTCCGCTCAACCCCTGAGTTCGTGGGCTATTTTTTTTGGGTTTGGAGCAATTTAGTGGTGCGGGAATGGTACGACGTTTAGTTGGCCAATCCACTCCAGGAAAGTGAGTCCACATGTTGGTGTATTGGTTCAGTTCTGTTCAGTTTTTGTGGGAGCTGCGCACCCTCCATTTTGTGCAAGCATATCCAGACCTGGAAAGTTCACTGGAGGTGTTGTTGTTAGGGGACCCCCAAGGTTTTTTTTTTGGGGTTTTCCCCTTTACACCAAGCCAACAGGGGGTATCCCCTAAACCACCCAGCCACCTTCGCGATTGGAAGTAGGTCGAACAGCCGTAGGCCAACTTGAGGAGCGAGCCCAGGCGCCGGGCGAACACGACGTTGGGGCAGGATGCGCCGATCTGCTGCGTTGCCAACCCCCGAAATCCTGGGGTTTTCCCTATGGCCAGCAAAAAGTCGACGTCCAGCATGAGCGGTGTAAGGACTTCACTGTCACTTGCCTCTCAGAAATTGAGTCATCCTTGTTAATTATCACTGCCTGAGGGATGAGCAAACGAGATGATGCTTCCATATTCCTGGATCAGACCCTTGCCATTGCAGTGAGTCCACTTCTTCATTTTGAGACGAAACCAAGATTTGACGCAGCAACTGACTATGGAATCTCTTTTGAAATGAGTTTACATGTGGCTAAACCGTTAACGCGCTATTTATTTCCCAAAAGAAGGGGGCTGCAAGGTTTGTTTGAAAGAAACTGGCTAAAGGACTGGGTATGTGGCTGAATTGCTGCAGAAATTAATGTGTCTGGCTTTATGCACCGTTTTTGCGGGACAAGCGCGTTGAAAATGGCAACCTACTTTTCAGGGTCATGCTCGTGGAAAACTATTCCCAGCCCTGAAAAAATGATTCAGGGGGAAGGGGAGTTTGACGAGTTAGTGGCAACCCATTTTCGTTTTGTGGCCGGAAGCTTCGACCATTATTAAAACAGAAATGGGCTGTGGCTCCATGAATCGACCCTTCAGCCTTACATCGCGTGTTTGGCAAGAAAGCGAGCTTCTCTTTGTTGGGTGGGGGTTGCTGGCTGTAAATGGGAGATATGGAGATTCCTGCCATCAAGGGTTGGCCTCCTTCGGAAAAATCCTGTCTCACTAAGGTTCGACCAGTTGATCACTTTTTTCCGGGCCTCAGGCCTAAAGGCTGGCGATGACAACCGCGGTTTTGGGGTGTGGTTCAAATCCCCAAGCCCACCCAAACCCATGCAAACCACTAAACCGCCAAGAGGGAAGCTGAGCTTTCAAGCTGCCAGCTGCAAGCAGGAGAAGCAGCGAGAGGAGGCCCTTTTGGCCGCCGCTTGTCGGCAGCTGTGGGAGGACGAGGCGATCCGAGCGGAGGCGCGCTCGCAGGGTCCGGTGCACCGCGCATGGCTGATTTGACACCCCCTTCTGATTACCACCCCCTACTCACTACCTAAATTCCTGGACTTTATACTTTTTGTGAAGACCATTTTGTGGCAAACAGACAGTTCAGACTTCTTCGTCCCATCCACTCAGGAAGTGAGCCTAAAATATGGAATGGGGGAGGGGGGATTTCGACCCCTGAGATCTCCATTTATGGTTCCATTTCCATCTTCTGGGGAAGACTGGATAAATTGAATGCCCCCCTCCCCGTCATGGTAGGGTCATTGGAAAACCATTGGGAAATCTGTCATGGTCAGGCGAATTTTATTGAAACAAGTTGTGCTTCAACATATCTAAGCAAGGGGCTGGTCCAACCATGCTTGTTTGAGAGTAACCCACGGTTACTTGTTTGAGTTGCCTGCTGACATTTGTCATTTGCAGGTCACTCTGGTTTTGGCCCCGCCCCCCAAAAGATCCCTGGCTGTTCAGTGGGCCTAATAAATGGGTTCCAGCTTGCACCAACAGGCAGTCATGCCTGCAGCATCCCGGAACCCATTTGTTAGAGCCCATCTAGGGTCAATTGATCACCTTTGAAAACCTTTTATTGGTTGCTGTTTGGCATTAATTACCCGACACACCTTGCAACGTGTCGAGCATAGCGCTCGTTACGCGTTGTTGTTACGTCGTTTTCTGCTGAGCTGGCCCGCTCTTTAGTTCTGCTTTGCTGCCGCTTGCTGATCCAGTACGGTCAGCACCTTCAAAGACTGGAGCGAGTGGTTCTGGGCGGACGGTCGAGTCACGAGTCGGCTCGAAGGGCTGCGCTCAGACGCAAACCGACACCGGTGAGGTTACGCAGAGTACCAATCTGAAAGTTTTCTGATATCTCCGTGTTGCCCCTGCTCGCGTTGAATTCGACAGGTTAGGGGATGGTTTCCTGTTTTACCCTCTACAAGAACCAGGGGTTCAATTCCCCAAAACAGAAATCCAAACCACCAAAGTGTTGCAGTACCTGAATCTGCGGTTGAAGCACAGCGGCTTTGCCCAGAATTCTCCTGCGAGCATGTATACCGTGCCAACCAGATTGAGCGAGTTCTCTTGGTGGCTAGTAGGAGATAGAAAGCATACCAATAGAGGAGTTCGCCTCGTCTTTGACATTTAGGTATGGGTCAGTATTAAGCCACCACAGCACCGCAGGTTTTCGTCCCTGATTCCATGTGGTACCTGTTTTTTACCCACAGCCATTTCACTTGCTGAGACTGCGCTCAGTAGGTCGCTTCCCCCTTTCGACCGTTTGGCCTGCGGCTTTCACGCCAGTTTCGTCCATTGCGGGTCAAGGGTCCGAAAGCATGACCTTTGATCTCATGGTGACTTGGGGCAAGTGACAACAGGTTCAAAGACAGGGCCCACACCCCCACAGAGAGGGAAGCCTTGGTCACAAGCTTCCTATGTTGGAGGCGCCTAGTTCCAACGCCCTCAGCCCCCTTTTTGTTCCCTTTTCTGGAGAGGGCAAACTGGGCAAAGCAGTCGGCTCCAGTTTCCAGAGGAAAAATGTTCATTCGCGCTGGAGGGCCTGGTTTCCTCGTGGTCTCGCCGGTTCTCCTCCCGCTTGAGCTCGCGCCTCAGGAGCTGCGCAGCTCTGAACTGGGAGCTGAGGCCGGAAGACCCGGCAGACCCGCTCTGCCGGTCTGGGTGGATGTGTTGGTCAGCTTCTCGTGCTATTCGTCACGGTTGTTGGCAAGGTTTTGTAGGCTTTTTTTTTGTTTTTTTGCTGTTCATGTTTATTGGTGCTACCATGCCAGCAGTCGGAAAGTGTCCAGTTCCCAAGGTGGATTGGTCCATTGGTCCTTTAGGCTCCTCTCCCCTCCCAAGGAAAGGTTTCTTAGAAGCATGCCACAAAAAATATGCCCTGGGAGGACCCCAAGAGTGTTCTTTTTTCCCGACGCAGCCCAGGCCGAAAACTGTGGAAAACAATTTGTTGAATTATGGGCTGCGTCATGGAATGGATCACATCCTTCTGCGCTTCTGGATCTTAAAAGAAAGCCCTTGAACCACAATCGGGCCATCACGCGGATGGGAATGGACCACTGAACGGCTCCTTCAAAATCCTAGGGCCATATCCCTCATGACCCTCATGATGTCAGCAGGTACTTGTTTTGGTCACATGGTGACGTCAGAACGGCCCTATCACTTTGAGCTCTTCAGATGGGTTCCATTGCTTTAGGGAGGAGAAGTGTTTTTCCCCTGGCAGGTCCGATGCGTCAACCCACTTGGGATGGGGACGTGCAGTGGAAAGCACCAGGCACCCAGGAAGCAATTCCCCATTTGTGTTTTGTCATCCACTTACGGAGTCATGGCATCTATTTTCCTTGGTGGCTCCCAGCCATCCCCTTAACTTTTTGGGTTTTTAGGGATTTGTGACGGATTTGAGGGCAGCCCAGTGTCATAGTGTAATCTTCAAGAGTTTACCAGTTTACCAAAAAAGGTTTGTAGGGTTTTCTGGCGCCAAGTGGAGGCCGACGGGCTAACTGGAGGTTTGCGCAGGATGAATTAGGTTTTTTTGCCAGAGAATCCAAGTCTAAGTATGCAACGCACTGATCGGTCATTCCTCGGACACGCAAGGAACCTAGTTTGCTTCTTACAGGGTCTTAGGAACCCAACAAAAATGGGTGGTGGTGTTTTTTGGGCCACCAATTTTGTGTTTGTTTGTACGAAAACCAATAAGTAGGAAAACCACGATTTTTTTCTGGGAATGTCGCCTAGAATGGGAATACAAGACCAATAGCAAAATCACCATAAAATTGGGGGGGGGGGGGGGGGTGGGGGTGGGGTGGGAATGTCGCCTAGAATAAAAATACAGTGTGTGTGTGTGTGTGTGTGTGTCTGTGTGTGGTGTTTTTGTCTTTGTTTTTGTTTTCCGGAAACCAACAGGAAAGCTGCAATTTAACCCTGTTCCAGGCATCTTCCGGCAGCTCCAGCGATCAGAGCGAGGCCCCGGAAGGCGGCGGCTGGTTTGTGACGCGGCCGTGGCTCAGTTTGAGGGCGCCCTTTTGGGGGGATTTGTGTGGGTGTTGGTTTCGGGCACCCAGAAGAAATCCGGAAAATCCATCAGCCAAGAAGGAATCAGAGAAATCCATCGGAGCCCTTGTTGGCAAAAAGTTGTCCAAAGCTAACTTTTTGACCAAAGCTAACCTTTCGACCTTTTGGTTTACCTATGTTGGTCCATTTTTAGTCATGGCACCAAAAGGTTAACCTTTAATTTCCAGGTCCTTTGGGTGCACCCATAAGAAGACATCCGAAAATCCATGGGATCCAAAAAGCCCCATGTGGACACGAAGTCGTGTTGAGCTTGGCTTAGCTTCTCTCCCCATGTTGCCATGGCAGCTGGGTAGATGAAGATTAGACTTCCCTGGCTACCCATGGGTGCGGATATCTGCCCTGTTGAAACTCTTTGCAAGTGTTTTTTATGGGTTTTGACTAGACTCCAGTACAGTACCTGGTTTTGATGATTGCTCACTTCGCGGCTTTAAAAACGAGCAAATCTCAACTTCTGGCCGCAGCGCCTGCCTCAATCCATTGCAGGCGCTTGCAGAGATCATACTCAGTTGTCCAAAGCCAACCTTTTAACCTTTTGGTTTCCCCCTTCTGGTCCATTTTTAGCCAAGGTCCCAAAAGGTGAACCTTTTATTTCCGGGTCTTTTGGGCAACTGAGCACAAGCGAGTTGCTGTCAGCTTTCGGACGTTGGCATCCACAAGCTCATGGATTGGGAGGACTTTCGCAAGGATGCACTCGAGCCGGCTTAGGGTTGCTGAGGTATGAACCCTGGCTGCCAGTTGCTTCATGACCGTCTGGGTTGAAACCTCCTCAGAAAAACGATTCTTTCATTTCCTGAAACGACTAGTTGTTCGTTCCCCTTGGTTTTAAAGGGACTCGATTTCGTAACGCTGGACATTACGTTCTCTTTTTCTCCACGGGGAGCCGAAAAAAAGCCGGTGGAACCTAAGTGTGTTGGATCCAGGGCTGTCAAGAACCTCTTGATGATTGGAGCCCTCGATGTGCCAATCTCCTGAAACACCCTCGAGAAGAAGCTTGAAATCTGATGCAAGCTTTTTCGAGCCCGGACTGGTTTAAATTCTTCCATGTTGACGTACAGGCTTACCCCTTTTCATGTTGCCATGAAAACACCCTTAGAGAAAAACTCGACAGGTAGCCCGCCACAGAGGCTACGTGTTCGCCTTTTGTTTGGTTTCAACCAGACAAAGTTGACTTGTTGCAGGCGGTTTCAGTCTGGCCCCACAAACTGGTGAGTGACCCCAAACATGTGGTACTGGTCGGAGTTTTTGGGGGGGGGGGGGGGGGGGGGCGTAGCGGGGGGGTAGACCATTCAAATCCCTGCAAAAATGGCCAGACACCGCAGACAAGGGCATCACTAAACATGGCTGCCCAGTGGTGCCCTTTTCTCGACTTTTTTTGTTGGGAAGGGTTCCGAGTCCTGTAAAGTCAACCAAGCAAAACAATCGGATGCCCTTTTTTGTCCATGGCCACTAGGCGCCGCTAGGCATCTGAGCTATAGATGGCTGCTAGAATCTAAATATGTCCTCTTTAACTCGAGGCAAAAGCTAACTTAGATACCTCGCCACTCAACCATGGGCGAGAGCGAGAGTGACCTTCCGAGGGTGCTGTTCTTTCTTTTTTTTTGCCTGTTTGGTGTTCTTTCGTTGTCCTTGTCAAGGTTTACTTGTTGCAAGCCTGAGTCTGGCCCAGGAACTGCTGGAGCCAAACATGTGGTAGTCAAAAGGGTTTACCAGGGGGAGCTGGCGGGATTACAACAGGTCACCAACCACTTGTGGCTAAGTCTGAGACCATTCAAGCACCCGCAAATTTGGCCAGAAAGAGTGATGTTTGCCTTTCAAGCCAAGTGTTTTTCCCTTTCAATCACCGCCAGAAGGGCGCTCTCAAAGCAGGGCGCGACGCCAACGTCTTGTTACATTTTAAGCGGGGGTACAAGCTCAACATGACATGCTGCACAAAAAGTAAAGTGGGAAGTGATCGTCCCAAACGTGCCTGTGCACTTCCACGGGCTATCACGTGCAACTCAGTAGCTCAAGAATTGTCTCCAGGGGTTACTTTGCACATGATGGCCCTGTTTGACCTGCTTTTAAGGCGGCGCCAAATGTTGCCATGTCAGATTTTCATACATTGTTGGCAGGAGTTGCCTTGACTGCCTGCTGAAAAGTGTGGGACTTCATGAGGAGAGACATCCAAAGCCCCCTACAGCGCCCTCAACTGCTCTTGGCTCTCTAGCACGGGCTTTGCATACCTTCCCTTGCTAGTTCTCAGGGAACCGCCTTGGTGTCTAGGAATGACCCTAGGGCTCCCTGTCAGAAAACCACACGGGATGCCCTCTGCTGTTGTGGTTTGAGAGGACGACCAAGAGGTCAAACCACCATGTTTGGAGGTCCTCCCCCCCCCAAAAAAAAACGCCGCAGCCATGTGGGTGTTATTTCCTCCTTCGGGAGCATCCGAAGTTCATCCCGCACTCCACGCTCGGCACGCCATCAGTTGCACCACGCGTGGCCAGGTGCCATCGATTACGATCGCCTGCGGGAGGCCCGCGCACCGGGCACCGGGTATGAGTTCTGCCGATTTTTGTTTCGGCGCGAGCGGTTCCAATGAGCCATTCGGGGGTACGAGCGAAAGCCATGAGCCCTCAATTCGGTCCTTTATTTGGGGATCCGACTTTCAGCCTTGGAATTAGAGTAAAATGTACAGGGATTATGTGCTTGTTTTGGTTGAGGCTCGGTACCCGTAGTTGGTCTAAAGGGAAACCCGCATTTTCGGAGGGGAGGGGGGCTATCTTGGCACATACCCATTTGTTTGGATGTTTTCGCACAGCACGAAGGAACAGCGGTGTGTTCCACACCATCGTGCCTGTATAAGGGGTATGCAAGTGGGACAAACTAAGGGTCCATTCACAGGGGACACTAGGATTTTCCGAGACACCAAACTGATAAACGGAGAACATCCGCCTTCACTAGAGCAGCGTGTTTTGAAACATTTTGGATGGTTCAGAAAAGCTAAGCTCCATTCCCAAGAATCACGAAACACCCTGCTGTTCCTTCGTATTCCTTCGTGTGAAAACACGAGGGTTGGAGTCGGGTCCGTTCGCCAGGTGTGGCACCTGGAAGCGGAAGTGCGCAGTGCCAAAGAGGAGGAGTCCGCGTTTCGGGAAATGGATCGAGGGGGTCAGGATGCAGGGCTTGTCTGGAGCCCAAACAGTGATTAGCTCTTTCTGTTGGCTCTCTGCAACAGGGGATGCCCGAAACAAGAGACTCCCTGATGGCAGCTTACATAGACGGTGACGAGCATGCGGCTTGTCAGCCTTCAACCGTTTTTCCTCAAGCACCATGGATTCATCGTGGTTCCCTAGCTCTCCCGAGCACCACAGTAAGGGCATACGGTTGCCTGTTTTGCGGGCATTGCACGGTGCAATGCGCCTTAGGGCCTTTCGAGCAAAGGGTCGCTTATGGTCAACCCCCGATTCGTTGAGCCTGGAAGCCCCTTGCAAGGCCGGGGCCTGGATGTTCGGTTGGATTCTAACCCCCTTCCCAGGTTGGCCTCCCAGTTTCAACCGAATCGCAGATATGCGCAGCTGGCTTTAGTATGTGTCTTTCTTCGTGTATGCATACAAGATATATATATATATATACACACATTTATACACATACGTTTGCGTGGGCATGTACCACTTACGTCCCCTTGCGACATGTTTCAAGTGAGCAGAGTTGCGGCGAATGCAGCGAATTCAGCTCGCTGCTCGCAGGTGCAGCGATTGCGGGCCGAGGCGCGGGACTGCTGGGAGCTGGTGGGAGGATTTTGCCGCCCTCTACTTTGCCATATCGGTTTCGGTTTAGGCCCCCCTGGTGCTTTCTCAGTTTTTAGGTTTTTGTTTTGCAGGGGGGGGGGCTTTGCCCTTGGTATCTTAGACTTGGTTTGTTGGGGGCACGCCTGCCGCTACATCTTGCCCGGACGCATGCTTTGGTTCACATGCGCTTCTGACCGCGGGCCATCAGGCCCCAAGCAGAACCTGCAACTCGAATTTATAGAGTGCGTGTTTTTGCCCACAGTAATGTATGGTTGACGGGTCAGTAGAGAGTTCCGGGGAGGGCCCCACACCCACGCAGTCACACACCATGTTCTTTTCCACTGCTCTTCTCTGGCGAACACACACACATATATAAATATATACACATCTACATGGATATCAATAGGCGATGGCATGGAGTAGCGCGATCTTACTCGGACAGTATATGACTTGCCGGGCCATCAAAGTTGGGGCGGTTCATTTTTTCCGGGTACACCCGGAACCGCTCAAGCCGTCCCGTGGAGATGACAACAAGTCTGGCTACATATACATGTATTAATGTATATTCATGTATATTCACGTATATTCATGTATATTCATGTATATGCATGTATCCCACCAAATTCCAACAAAACCAACACACACACATGTGTATATATATATATGTTCATACATACATACATACATACATACATACATAAATACATACATAAATACATATATCTCTATATATATATATATATGTGTGTGTGTGTATGTACATAAATTCATTAAACGAACAAAAAGTACTCCAGCGCCAATTGCACCGTGCGCCAGGCGCGACCGCCAGCCCCCAGGCGCGGTGCCAGCGGCCATGGGCTATCGGGCTGGGCCAAATCAAAGGCCAAGCTGTCACGACCCAAAGCGAATCCAAAAATTGTTGACCCCATAATATGGCTGTGGGTCAAAAATAGGTACCCAAATGGAACCCTGGTAAGTGGAAACATGGACCAAAACCTGCGGTCCCCTGGTGGTTTAAATTTGACACCCATATTCTGAAAATTGCGGGGTTCTTTTCTTGAATGTGTTGGGGTTGGCGGGACTGAGTTGTTGCCAGAGTGAGGACACATACACAAGTAGTTCTTTTTTGTTAATATATATATATATACATACACATATATATGATGATAATAAAATGGTTGTCGCTTATTTAGCACCAAGTTCATCAACCCCAGTTTGTTAATACGGGGTGTTCCCCTCCAAAAGTGATGGTTCCCAGTTTTGATTAGGGTGGCCCCTCCACAAGTGGTTTGATTCCCCACCAAGCCAGGGACACCCCCCCTCTGAATAAACTCGGGTTGATTGACGTGGACATCAGTGGCTTGTCCTTGTGGTTTCCTTTTCACCCAAAACTCAGTCTGTTGCTCAAATTCAAGTCAATCCACCGTTTTGATCAGTCAGTGTCCTCTATTCGGCCTATTTTTAGTGGCCTTTAGTGGCCCTAAGAGGTGATCACCTTTTATTTCTTGGCAATTCAGCCCTTTTACGGCCGCTTTTCAGTGACTCAAATACACCTGGGCCACATCCCCTCGGGTCTCCTTCCGCTATCGGGTGGCCCCTCACATGGAACCTGAAAGGCCACCATGTTGGCGCTTGATTTTCAACCTACCCACCCAAAAACAAGGCACCATCACCAAAAAAAAGGACCCACCCCAGCCATATGTTTGTGGGGGGAAGGGTGAACATCACCTTTTGTGGGCCAGAGATGATATATATATATATATATTGAGAGAGAGAGAGAGAGAGAGACAGAGAGAGAAAGAGAGGCCTTGATGGTCTTTGGCCTTTGGCCACCGGGCAATTCTATTCCAAAAAAATAAACCGATGCAGATATCTGGGGGTCGCTCGGTGGTTTTATCAACAGGAACCCCGTCAGATATGGGCAACTTCTTGGGACTTTGTGTGTCTAACGCAGGAAGTTTGAGGCAATCATAGGTCTGTGATGCCCTTAGATGTCTTGGGCTGCACGCGCGCTACACTGATGCGCTCAACGAGTTTTTGATCTTGCCTGAAATGGCTGGGCAATCTTTTTTAAAATGCATCGTGACGGGGATAGATCATTGCAATTATTGATCTTCAACGAGGAATTTCTAGTAAGCGCGAGTCACCAGCTCGTGCTGATTACGTCCCTGCCCTTTGTACACACCGCCCGTCGCTCCTTCCCATTGAGTGATCCGGTGAGTAATTCGGACTGACGCCCTAGTATCCCCTCCAAGAACCATGGGAATCCGAGTTTGGAGGCTTCAACCTAGGGACTTGTTTCTTCTCCCGGCCGGTTGTCAGCTAGCAACAGAAGCTCCGTCAGTGGAGGGAAGGGGTATGCTCCCCTTTGATTAAAGAGCAAGCCGCTTTTGGAGAGGCAACACTGGGAACTCGGTTCCAAGTGTTCCCTTCGAACAGCGTTTGTCCATTTGCTGAAGAATATATGTTTATTTTCCACTTGTTGGTTTCAACGAACCTATCACTATTGGACATATGTTTCTTACGGGACTTAAGCTCAGGGAACCTGGCTTTATGTAGCAAGTAAATGGAGCCCCTGAACCACCAAACCACCAATGCAAACCACTGCCTTCACTTCCCGGTGCCAGGCAAGCGAGGAGGCCGTCCTTGCCGCGCGCTTCCGACGCTTCTCTGCATCCGGCCGAGGCGGGCGACTCGGCGACTCGGCGACGCACGAGGAAGGTGGTTTGGGCCATTTGGGCCACAATCAACACCTGGGTGGGGTGGGGTGGGGTAGATGAAGGTTCAGGGACAAGGTTAACCACGCCGCCTTGTTTTGCTTCTTTCCATGGTTCTGGGTAGGTGTTGATTTATTTGGCCTGGCTTTGGGGGAGCCGGCCGAGGGATCGAAGTTCGGAGCTAGGGGGCCCCAAGTGCCCTCCCTGAAGCTCGGTGGCTCCCAGGCGGCTTGTTGGCTTTTTAGCTTTCTAGGGTTTCAACTCACTTGCCCGAAGCGAATCGACCTTTTGACCTTTTGGTTTCCCATGTTTGGTCCATTTTTAGTAAAGGTCCCAAAAGGTGATCACCTTTTATTTCTGGGTCCTTTGGGCAACTGAGCTTCTAGGTCCCCCAGCTAGGCGCCCTTTTGCCGTTTCTTTTTGGGGGAGGCTCCTACTAAAATAGACCACAGAAAAAAAGGGTACCCTTCTTCTAACCTCTCTACTGGAGGACCTATGCTTGGCGGGGGTGTCCATTGAACCAGTTAAACTTTTAGCAGAACCGAGGACAGCCCGTGAAGGGATTTACGGAAAATTAGAGTCAAACCGAAAAGAAACCGCTCCACTGTGTCTACTGCAGTTTGTGGCTGTCCCAAAACACCTAGGCCCCAATCACTCTGACCCCATAGAGAATCGTTCCCCTTGTTCCAACGAAGGGCTTTGCTGAGTTTCCAGGTTTGTCCGAGGCCTGGGGGCCATTCATATTCCTCTCACTTGCCCAAACCCGACCCGTTTGACCTTTCAGTCTTCCTAGTTTGGTCCATTTTGAGTCATGGCCTCCAAAAGGTCAATTTTTATTGCTGGGTTCTTTGGGCAAAAAAAGAACTAGACGACGAGTGGCCCGGAAGCATAGAGGCAAGTTAGTTGTTAGCGATCAAGTAGTCTAGTCGCGACAAGCTGCACACAGACAGATTCCGCTTTTTGTCAGTAGCTCGAATATGGCACTAAAAGTTGAGGAATTTCATGCACTTCTCAGTGCAGGTTCTCCCTGCTCATCGCGATCTTGCCCACATTTGCCCACCATCATGTCGCGCGTGTAGATCGAGTGGCTCGGCATGTGGATCTCGATGATGCATACCATGCTTCGGGCGGCTCCAACATGAACAAACAGGCAGCAAGCAAACTACCGCGATGTTGTTTTTTTTGCCGCGCTAGCTTGAACCAACCACCAGGCGCGTGGCGCGGAAGGCGAGGCGGGGGAGAACCAACACCTGAGGCACCGTGGAGAAACCACCACCACCTGGGCGAAGCGAAACTGGAGCGAAGCTCCTGCACATGCAGGCAACTTACAAAGCGAGGTCTCAATGCAAATGCAGAAGTGTGGCACGGAGGTTGTTCAATCTGCTGATGTTGTCCGGCTTCACTCGGCTTCCCTTGGCTTCCCTCGGCTTCACTCAAGTGCAACAGCGCTCAATGAGCACACATGCTCAAGCATGTCGTGTAGGTTGTTTCAATCTGGTGTTGTCCGGCTTCACTCGGCTTCCCTTGGCTTCACTCGAGTGCAACAGCGTGCAGGCAGCACAAATGCTCACGCGTGTCATGTAGGTTGTTCAATCTGCTGATGTTGTCCGGCTTCACTCGGCTTCCCTCGGCTTCACTCAAGTGCAACAGCGTGCAATGAGCACAAAAGCTCAAGCATGTCATGTAGGTTGTTCAATCTGCTGATGTTGTCCGGCTTCACTCGGCTTCCCTTGGCTTCCCTCGGCTTCACTCAAGTGCAACAGCGTTCAGTGAGCACAAATGCTCAAGCATGTCATGTAGGTTGTTCAATCTGCTGGTGTTGTCCGGCTTCACTCGGCTTCCCTTGGCTTCACTCAAGTGCAACAGCGTGCAAGCAACACAACTGCTCAAGCTGCTGATGCGAGTTGTTCAATCTGCTGATGTTGTCCGGCTTCACTCGGCTTCCCTCGAAGAGCAAAACGTGGAGTCAGTGCAAGCGCTCAAGCATGTCACGCAGGTTGCTCAATCTGCTGATGTTGTCTGGCAGCAGCGAGGAAGATCGCAAAGCGCATGTTGAAAGATATGGCGGCTACATGCTGCGCGCGAAGCTGTGCGTGGCGCGGTGCGTGACGCTGCGCGCGGTGCTGCGCATGATGTGGCACATGATGCTGCGCGCGAGGCTGGTTCAATCTGCTGATGTTGTCCGGCTTCACTCGGCTTCCCTCGAAGAGCAAAACATGGAGACAGCGCAAGCGCTCAATCTGCTGATGTTGTCTGGCAGCAGCGAGGCAGATCGCGAAACGCGTGTTGCAAGATGTGGCGGCTGCGTGCTGCGCGCGAAGCTGTGCGTGGCGCGGTGCGTGACGCTGCGCGCGATGCTGCGCATGATGTGCCACGTGCTGCTGCGCGTGAGACTGCGCGTGGTGTTCACCAGTGCTGGCGGTGTCGTTCGTGTGCGTTTGTGGCGCTGGCTGCTGGCTCTGCCGGAGTTGTGCGCCCGCATACAAGCAAGAGGTAAAAGCCCAGACCGCTCGCGACTCACTCGCATTGTTCTTGCTCGTCGCATGCGCCCGCTCGTTGCGCTCAGCAACAAGCCGTGCATCACTACCTGAGCTACTCATGAGCTATGCTACCCGGAGGACTCACAAAGAATCACGCGTGCCGCCGCGGAGACTGGAAGTGCCAAGGTCGTCCTTGAAGTCGCCGGAATCCGACCACCAAGATGCTCGTCCTCCCACGTCTATGTCGCGCCAGACTGGGATCGCTCGCGCGTCGGAAACATCCGCCAGCGCGAGCCAACCCAGATGACACGACTATAGCTGTCTGCAGTGCTGAGCCATCTTGATGACGAACGGTGTGGCAGCCCAGGCTGCGTGTCACGCACGAAGCTTTTGCCGGACTCGCCGCTCAAAAGCGCCAGAGGGGAAGAGATCGGACACGAACTCGCCCGGAGGACTCACAAAGAATCACGCGTGCCGCCGCGGAGACTGGAAGTGCCAAGGTCGTCCTTGAAGTCGCCGGAATCCGACCACCAAGATGCTCGTCCTCCCACGTCTATGTCGCGCCAGACTGGGATCGCTCGCGCGTCGGAAACATCCGCCAGCGCGAGCCAACCCAGATGACACGACTATAGCTGTCTGCAGTGCTGAGCCATCTTGATGACGAACGGTGTGGTAGCCCAGGCTGCGTGTCACGCACGAAGCTTTTGCCGGACTCGCCGCTCAAAAGCGCCAGAGGGGAAGAGATCGGACACGAACTCGGAGCTGTGCCAGCCAAGCTTTCTAACGTAGGACAGTGCCCTGCTCTCGTCCCGAAGCGCTTGCGCTTCGAACTGCTGCATCCTCTCCACCAGCGTGGTGTTGTGGGCGTGCAAGTGCCCCTCAAACACGTCCCTCTCAGGCAAGTCGATGATCCACAAGTCGTCCAACTTGCGCGGGCGAGATAGCATGACGTACATCGCCAGGGCGTAGTCTGCGTCTTTCATCCAGCTGGGCCTGGAAAGGAAGGCCACGAGACCCCGCCGGGCAGTCACGCCCTGCAGCCCGTAGTGAGTCAAAACACAGCGAGGAGCCAGCGGCACCTGCTTGCGCACCACGCTGATCTTCTCCTTGCCCGCAGTATGAAAAGACCAAGCGTTTTCTGAAGATATGGCGCGGATGAAAAAGTGCCCGGGCGGAACGCCCTCATGCCCAGGTAGGCAGTAGTTCTTGTACTCCTCGTCATCTACTTCTACCAGCACTGCCAGAGGCTGATATGCGAGAACAACACACCCCTGACCCTCCGGGACTGGCGGCTCCTTCGGGTGCAGCTCTATCCTTCGAACGATCACGGGCAGCTCGCGTGTCAGCAAGGGCATGGGCAATATGCAAGACACGCGGGCAGGCATGCCCACGTAGAGAGGACACATGCCAAGCAGATATGACGTCTTTGTCATGTTCACGACCTGCAAGGCTGCGAAGACGTGGTCTCTGCTGAGCTGCGTGGGACCCGTGGGGCGGTCAATCGCCTGCGCGAAGTACAAAGTCTGACCGGCAGCTCGGGCCTCCGCGGCCCTGAGCTGCTGCAAGCGGGCCACCTGCTCCCAGGCAAAGCCGCCCCAGTGAGCTTGGAGGAGCTGCTCGCGAGTGGACGCTGAAGTCGTGGAGGCCGAGGTGTAGCTCCTCGCTTTGACGGCTTGCCACAGCTCGTCAGACATGCGCGTCCCACTTCGCATGTGCTGCAAAAGCTGCATGAGCTGTCGCCCAGAAACGCAATCCAAGAAGCGACCTGTGCCGGTGAAGTGGACGACCCGCTGCAGCGACTGCTTGAATAGCAGGCGCCCCAGCTCGGACGCGTTGCTGACCTCACGGAAGACTCAGAGTGAGGCATGGCCTACATCCAACCGTGGAAATGCGTCAGACAAAAACACAACACTCAAAGCTCACAAACGCTGCCAAGCCCTTGGAGCCTCCTCCGAGTCGTCGTGCTCCGCGTCCGCGTCGGGGTCGGCCGAAGGCTCTGTCGCTGCCTTGGCCGACACCCACTCACAGAGCGACTTCTGCGTGGCTGGGCGCAGCTGCAAGAAGTCCGCCAGCTGGATGCCGATGGGCATCTTGCCAAACCACTCCTCCATGTACTTGCTCATGTCCAGGCCCAAAGGCTCTTGTCGCAGCAGAGAAAACCTATAGCCGGCCGCGTGATACACATCTGGAGGATTCATGGACAGCTCGTCCATCACCGTGGCAGACGCCTGGGCAATCTGCGCCTCCACGGCGCTGCCCTTGGCCTTGGCACCGCGAAGGTTTCGGCGGTCCAAGCCAGTGTTTGGGCTCACGTTGGCCCACTTGTGCAGCGTCTTCGCCTCGGGGCCAAGGAGTCTGACGGCTGCGTGGGTGGGAGCTCCCACGATGTAGCCAGCGCGTCCAAAGAATCGCTGGAAAAGAGGACGGAGCACCTTCGTGTAGGCCCAAGTTTTGCCGGAGCCCCCTGCGCCAAGCCACAAGCAGTTGC